ATTCGATATGATAAAACTTTATAGCACTAATGTATTCGTGTAAAACGAATTGTCTTTGTTTCATCCATTAGCTGTGAACACAGACAGCGCAGGTTGGTTCTGGCAGGAGTGGAATTAATCAGAACAAATCTTATCGTCCGAACTATTGCATCACGTTTCACCGTAAATCCCCAACACAGTAATTTTCTGAAACTCACCTCTTCAGTGTATCTTTGCCATGCTCGAGCTAGTTTTGAATTGAGTCCGTCAGCAATGCTTTTTCTCAACAAAGCAATAGTGGTATTGATAGCCGCTGCACCAAATTCCGATCCCCACCAAATATTTTTTGGATTATGGCTTACTCCACGAAGCCGAAAACGATCCAGTTCGACCCAGTTCCAAACATTATAAATCGCGTCGTCCGCAATTACAATAAATCTAAGCGAATATTTAACAGTTATGAATGAATTCCCGACAGCTGAAATACTGCTACATCCTGGTCCGGTAGCGACAAATTCTGATGAGTTTTCTTCATCACTTTATCAACAAGTTTTAATAGTAAATAATCAGCCTATAGCTGTGGGGAATTTTTATTGAATACGTCCATCAGCAAATTAAAAAAAAAGGTGCTTCTAAGCCGAATTTACACTGCCACGCTTAATTGAAATTACTGTATTATAATATTTACTATATCAAAATCTCTACTGCAGCGGTTCTGCTCTTGTATTACGCCTGCAACAATATCATTGTTATCATCATTATTACTGTTGTTTTTTATTTATATTTGTACTTATTTTTGTTCTTTTGCGCCAAGATTTGATGTACATAGGGGTCTTGATCTAGTGCGTATCATTGTTTGTTATTAAATCATCATATTTTTTTCCATTCTTTTTACTGTCGTCGTCAAAACGATCTTTTTCTGGCAAAGCCGTTGACGATGATCTCTTTCGACGATTCCTTAGCAAAAAATCTGAAGGCAATTTCAAAACAGCAAGCTAAGAACAAGCGTCTGTTTGCCATTAAAATAAATTAATCTATCTTGAAAATGTAATTTTTCCAGCAGTCAAAGATTACATTTAGTTATACCATTGCACTGCTTGCTTCTGGATACTTTCAGGACAAAATCGCAAATTTCACCAACCCATCAATGTGTTGCAGTCT